TATATATATATAGAGAGAGAGAGAGAGAGAGAGAGAGAGAGAGAGAGAGAGAGCTATACAACGCACACGAGCAGAAGGTTTCTGAGTATATCGAGTGAAAATTATTCCTCTGCTAACCAACATCTTGTACACTGCAGACGTTCCTCAGTAAGAGCCGCAATGTTCACGTTTAGAGCATTCAGCCTGTCACCAAGACCGGTTTCGCCGATGTTTTTGTTTCTTTCACTTTGTAAAGCTTAACCTCAGGCTAATAAAGGTTCTTACTCATGTATCATACGACAAAAAACACATTATATAACCTTCACAGACGTTCTTACTGATATGCTACTGATGAATGACTGTTGTAAATAGATGCCGATTAAATGAGGAATGATGCATGCCACTCTACTCTTAAGAGCATAAGGTGTCGTCACAGACTCTATGGCTACATAAAGTTTCATTACTAATAAAGTCGCAGCCTTAAATAACTGACCACTTTTAATGTAAGTTGAGATGACCAGTATATTAGAACCAGTCAGTCAGTCATAGATTCCCAAGAAGAATGGAATCTGTTATCGTGTAATGGTTGTATAATGTATATTTCTCATAAAAACAGACAGATAATGGTAAATACTTGACAGTGCACCAGACAATGTATTGTCTACAGAATGTATAATAGCCCCATGTCTCAAAGATATATCTCTGTGTTTGTCAGACGTTTCGTCGTTTGTTCTTGTTCTGATCAAAGACCAACCAGCTAATGCTGCGGTGATAATGTGGAGTAGGTTAACGTTGATGAACGTACATACCCACGTATTCAGGTATATGTGTTACATACATGTTAGAATATTGCAGATACAAGTGTTGCTTTGTCAGATGAAAGTATCATAATCAACAAGTAATCATCAACATTCGTAAGTTATCAGTGACAGGAGTGAAAATAAATACAAGACATGTTGTTCTGGTGTCATGTTCAGATTACGTTAATCTGGTGTCAATCTGATGTTGATTATCTATCCGACTTGACACGAAACAGAAAATATTTCTGTGAAATATATCTCATCATATTCATTTACTGTCGTGTAGTATGATGACTATGGGTACTATATAAAGACATAAAATAAACAATGCACAAGTCATCAAAGCGTCGTTCCTTCAATCATTATAAAGATACGTGCCTTACAATGGAGACTTGGCCGGACTATATATAGATACTATCGTGTATTTGCTTCAACTGTCCTGAGAGACATATTGCCTTAGCCGTTTGTTTTAAAAATAAATTCACGTTTGAATTTTCAATGGTGTAAGGTTGGATAGTGTCAATTTATATCAGTCAGTCTAGTAATAAATTGCTATATCTTGTTGTACTGGATTGAGTACTTAATCTGTTGTATAGCCAACCGCAAGGTCAGCAAAGCTTGTAAACACGGCCATGCCCTGAGAGTTCCTGTATCTTGTAGTGGGATCGACACCTAGTACGTAAGGTGATTGTTATGGCCAATTACCTACAGTAACCCCGCCGTCATGTGCCAGTCTCAGGACTAGTACTGTTATTTGCAGAACGTGTCAAAGTTCATTCAGGTACTGCAAGGAACACACGTACATAGCACATGTAAGTATTCCAATGTTCATTTCTTGTTTTCAGGCCTTTTAAGCGGCTATTGTTTGGTTACATAGTGTGGTCATTATGTATATCATAGTTAGGATATGTAACATATTTGATTGGTGCAAGAAATAACATATTTTTACAAGGAACCATTTGGGGGGCGTGTCTGTGCCCCCGCCGTACGTCACGTATCACATTCTGTCGCTGCCAACGAAAATATGGCTTTCTGGCATAGATGTAACATTCAGGACAAATCTGACATCAGAAATAATGGATGATCAGTAAGATAATGCCTTACTTTCTTTCTAATAAGGTAAATTACTTCATGGTACCAGCAATACCTTTTGATAAGGTAAGGAAGCAATGACGAAGAAAGTCAACATGTTATTTAGTTAGTGCCTACCTTGTGTTTGGTTACAGTCTC